GGCTAGAGTAACCGGTTATCACCTTGAGTGTGATTTCCGACAAGGCTCGCAGGCTCCAAGGCCAAACTTGGGCCGGTCGTACGTCAACCACTCCCTATATTTATTACCCTCATGCCCCCGGGTGTAGGGGAAACTGTTGTGTGCAAAGGATTGTGTACAATTTTTATTTCAAACAAATGCTGAATTTAAACATTCTACTTAAACTCAACCCAAACAACCTCTAACATCCATTAGTGAAATCACATCTCCGCGCCCGGCGCACTCGTGGTTGCGCCCAGCGCAATTCAACCAGAGAGCACCAAGGGGGCCAGCGCGCCCAGCGCAAGCATGCCCGCGCCCGGCGGGACCCAGCCAGAGAGCCCAAGACTCACTCGCGCATGGCGCAATACCAATTGCGCCCAGCGCATGCCAGGCAGAGACTCCCAAGGAGTCTCACGCCCAGCGCGACAAGGGCCGCGCTCAGCGCAGCACACCAATATATATCTATTACAACGTAGCATTACATCATTAACAACATATACAACGTACAACATATTATACACATAATACGGCTCATCCACCTTGTTTACAACTCATCAATCTTGTCAAATTACCTACCCAAACAACACCAATCGACCTAAGCACCTAAAACAACTTTCAACTTAACCAAATCACTAAATGTGAAATGGCAACCTTCACAGAAAATAGCACATCAGGAGTTATACTACTCCTACCATACTCATCCTTATCTCATATGAAATATAAGAGGATTTCCTACAACTCTCATGAAGACACCAAGTCCTAATTCCTTCATATACCATGTTAAAAATGATAAAAACCGCAACAGCTATAAACAAAGCTAGCAGCTCGACCCCTCTTCACTAAAACAGCCATATCTAGAGTTCTAAAACTCTTTTTTGGGTGATTCCAGCGCCATTGGAAAGCTAACATCCAAGGCTACAACTTTCACGAAGACTATAAAGTCAAATTCTGAAAATCAAATGCACGCCCGGCTCGTTAAAAGCGCGCCGGCACAATTCTCAACCAGAGACCTACATAGGTCTATTGCGCCCGGCTCGGTTCACCCCAAGCCCGGCGCGATTCATCCAGTGATTCCCCATTTCAAATCTCGCCCGGCGCGAAGAACTGCGCCCGGTGCAAATTCAAACAGGAACCCTCACCTACTTCGAAAATTTCGTCAAAACCTGCGAAAAACACCAGGAAACCAACATGCAAACCATCCAAAAGTTTACCTTTCCATCAAACATCAATAAAAGCACCTCATTTCCAACATGCAACCTCAAATCAATTAAAATCCCAAATTTTTCACCCAAACCTCGAAAACCCCGGAAAAATCCATTTTTCATCAATCTCATCCAAAATCATCCATCATCAAACAACAATGAGGTTTTAGAACTCATTTTCAGCTAAAAATCTGCAAAAATCTAGCTTCCCTTACCTCGGTGAAGAAATCCGAGCTCCGGGAAGAGGAAGGAGAAGGAAAGAGGATCCGCACACGACTCGCTCTGAACGGCTTCAAGTTGGAGAGAATGCACCTCCTTGATCACCCACAACTTCAGTTTGAAGAAAAGAAAAAGAATCCCAAAATCAGCAGGGTTAGTGAGGAGAAGAATGGATTTGAGTGAGTAGAGAGTGAGAGTTGGAAATAGAGAGTTGAGAGGGAGAAAGAAGGGGCAGCCACGGGTCTCACAATTATTAAGGATAGTTGGGTTTGGAAAACTCAATTTTGCCCATTGTGTGTTTGCGGTAGAAGTTGTGCGACACAACTATTCTGACAAGACCTTGATTGTACGTCCTTCTAGTGTAAAGTGTGTTAAGGGTATGACTCAACATAGACTCCTAAGCTATTATGTGTGTTGTCTTATGGCTATACGTGACATGATTTTGAAATTTGGTCATTTATGATAAATTATACTTTAATTGTGTTACTACATTGATTTTTAATTATTATATACTCATGTGTATTTGGTTATTTGACTATGTTTTATATTGTAAAGTAGAGTGGAATGTTTTTCACTTTTCGTACTTGTTATTGTTCTATTTGGATGTTGTTACAAGTGAGATTCATCTTGATGTCGAATGTCTTGACGATGAGACCTAGTCTTTATGGTTAAGTTTATACTCTAATAGGATGTCATCGGAGTTTAGTTTTGATTTGTTTTTCTTTTGTTATGTTTTAGGATAATTGTTATTCTCATTATACTAGTTTCAGTTAGATTTTAATTTGGTGTGTTTAGTTAAAATGTAGTACTTTTTAGGCTGAACACTTGAGACTTTTATCTATAATAGACTTGTTTGATCCAATTTTATTCATTTCATTTCATTACATTATAATATGTGAGGTAGAGGGTGCTTTATTATATTTTTTTAAATGTAACTATAATTGAATTAATATTTCATTTTTACAATCACACACACACACATATATATATATATATATATATATATATATATTATATTGAAAATAATAAATTATTAAAAAAAACTTTGATTTTATTATTAGTTGTTTTTTTATTTAAATTTATTCATTTCAACAAAAAAATTATAACATTATTGTCAGTTCATTTTTATAATCAGTATTGTAAAACAAAATTTAAAAATATATACTAAATTTTATTTTATATTCATTTGCAAATCGTTATGTTTTATTATTAGTTTTGTAAGTTATATTTACACTTTGAACATTAAGAAAACAAAAGAATTATACTTATATTGGGATGAACATTTCTTTGTCTATTATGATAATAATTTTTTTAAATTATTTATATACTTTTTTTTACAAATTTATTGTATGTAAATACAAATAATAATTTACAGGTTTGTTTTTTTTTATTTGATAGAGATCGTTACTGAATTTTGTGACACTGCTTTATTGAAAAATGAAAATTATATAAATCTAGTAAGTCTTACTAGTAACATATTTCAATGCAATCTTATTTAACAAATTGAAACTTCTTTTTAAAGCTGGTTGAGTAAGGGATGAGAACACTTTTATAAATTGAACAATGTCAAAGAAGTAACTAACATCCTACTTAGAGTGATGAATGACAATAGTGATTGCATTTACCCTTATTTCATGTGATTACATTAGTTGACATTAATACATGAAGTTTATAATTTTTAAAACACTCTCTTTAAATTCTCACTAGATGAACAATCTTATTGAATTTATATTTAATGTTGTATTGGATAAGAAAATGAATATTTGATTCTATTTTTAGATATTGACAATTTTATGTTGAAGTGTTTTAGTTTTTAATTACTAACATTTATATGGTTAAGTGATTGATATGAATAAAAGAAAGTTTGTTACAAATCTCTTCTATAAAGTTCATAAATTTGTCCTATTTATAAATATTAATAATAAATAATTAAAAAAATTTAAATGATTATAATCAAATTAATGTAAAAGAAAACTTAAATAGATAAATAAAAATTTAAATAAATGATAAATGAATATTTTTTTTTGTAACCATGATATTTGTACGAAGTATTCATCGTCAAAAGAAGTGATTAATCTTTGTTGGAGACCGTGAGTGCATAAAAAGTAGGTATTCCCCTCCTAACATATTATATTTCATATCCAAGGTCAAGATTCATAACATGAATAAAATATAAATAATTATTCTAATTATTCTATATTAAAATATAATATACTCTAAATAAAATTAGGGACAATGTCCCCTTATCAACGTAGGTTTGTCCCCAAATGACACATCATATTTTAAGAGGATGTCATAATGTGTTTTGAGAAGTCCTCTTAGAATACAGTGAAGTTCTTTAACATGATTTATATATTCACATATTAAGTGTCATTAAGAAAATAAGTAACATTATGGAATGGTTTTGAGTATTGATTTAATAATAAAAAATTATCTCTAACTTTTTTTATCCATAAGAAATATTACATATTACAAAGATCGACTTAGATCATCTCACTTCTAACTACTTTAATCTCATCATCTCCCAATCATTAGGCTAACCATGGTGGGTATAAATCATCTTCGACCTTGAATTGTCAAAACAAGGACTTTATGAAATAATCAAAGATTTAAATGAGACTTGTAAACTTTTCAAATAAGAGATTAAAATGGTTTTCTTTGGAGATGAAAAATTCATCTATCAAATTTTATCTTTATAAATTTTTCCTCAATTAGTTAAAAAAGTGAAATATATTATGACAATATTAAGTAGCATAGATGTTAATATGAAAGAAAATGATAATTGATATAACAAAATTATAAGATATTCGTTTTCTCACATTGGGTATTGTAATCCACTTTCATAAGATAATAAAATCTTTTCCCACATGTATCTTATTTTAAAGACAATTTTGTTCCAAATATGATTAGATATTAAATGTTGACACCTTATCCAATGATAATTTGAATCTTTTTACTATATCATAGGAGATTGAAATTAAAAATAATAGTCAAGAGGCCTTATAAATCCACAAAATATTTAAAATAATATATATATATATAT